GCTGCCTCGTGCTCCGGCAGGACGACGGGGTGGCTTCACACCCCTGCACGCAGCTGAGCTTGCCTCCTCCTAAGAAATTTCCATTTCTCAGCTTACGGGAGACAAGCGATGGCTTCCCAAGAGTCACTAACTCCCTTTTTTGCACAGGATGCTCATAATCTCGTCTCCTCCTCCACCAGAGCTCTGCAGACCAATGCTCACCGTAAAGAGAGGCTTGGTCCCAGCCCCACATCTTCCCATCACGGCTCTGCACGGGGTCAGCATGGTAAAACCAGGTCATTTGGCTGAACCAGCTAAACTATCTGCCGGGAAGGGAGGCAGGAGGGTGTCAGTCGTTCCATTCCATTCAAAAAGAAGGAGAAGCAGGAGGGGGGAGAGGGAGGGAAGAGAAGAAGATCTATTGAAGCAGCTATTCTTGCCAAAGAAATCCACAAATCCGCATCCAAAAGACTTCAGTTAATAATCTCTAAGCTAACAGTCACCAGGAAATTCGCTGTATTTTGAGGGACAATCATAAACGTGCTTACGTTCAGCATTTTTATAAACGTGCCAACCTCAAAAAAAACTTCCAGGCCCCTTGCCGCCGCTGTAAGAAATAAGAGCGGCTACAACCAGTTCATGTGCAGCCTGCGCAAGCCATGCAGAAAAAAAGGGAAACAAAGCGTGCTGGCAGAAAGAGGGACCCACAACGTGCCCCCAGCCCAGACCCGCGGTGACCTCCTCGTTACTGCTAGTGACGGGGATCCCGGATGGCGTGTAAAGAGAACGATTCTGATCGTGAGGTGCCCAGGAGAGCACGGCACACGGGGCAGCGTGGGCTCAGCGCTGAGCAGAGCAGGTTCGGACAGCTCTGCTAGAAGGGGACCATGTTGCATGAAATCCCTGGGTCCTGAAAATAAAATCATGCCCAAACTCTGCGGTCTCACAGCTGGCAAACCATCCTGGACCTGAGCTGTGATGCTGATACAGCGCCCAAAGCTGGCTGTGGCTCAGGTCGTTGTGAGATGCAGCTGAGAACACCTGAACAAACACCGCAGCCTGTCTCACCTCCTGCTCCAGCTCTTTGCCCAGGGCCAGGTAATTGCTTTTCAGAATGATGTACTCATCTGCCAGCTCCTTCCGACTGCTCTCCAGAGCCTGCAGACGTTCCCGTAAGGCATCCCGCTCCCCGGTGACTTTCTCACTGCAGCGCTCCAGCTCCAGCACGCGGTTCTCCAGGGACAGGATCTGCAGAAGGGAGGCAGCATAATGAGACTGGGGCAGAGACCAGCAGCAACTACGTGGCGTTTATTTGGACAAACAGGTTCTGATACGCTGTGAGTTAAAGAGGGATGAGTTTCGCAGAAATTTCATGGTATCCGGGGCATCAGGGGGGAAATCATTGCTCTAAGGCCAAGAGAATACACCAGGCAAAGCAAAGCTGGATGCATAACAAACTGAAAAAGGTACTGGCAGAGCTGAATCAACTCTACTCCAGATGTCTGTATACCATATTTTTCAGTTCAAAGTTCTCCATCTCATACTGCTCCTTCATCTTGTTTGTCTCGATATGGAGATCAATGAGGTCTTTGGAAATCTAGGAGAGAGAAAGGACATTGTAAAGGCCATGGACTGATTCTCAGCCCAACACATTGTTTCAATGGGTTGCACCAGGGAACAAGAGCCCAACACATACACCCCTAGAAAGAGGCCCCAACACTTCCCACCAGATTTGCCACTGCAGATCCACTGGCCTCATACAGCTTCACGGCTCAGTTCTCTCCAACTCCCAAAGTATTTGTTTTACCTTCAGTTTTTCCTCTTCACTGAAGACCACCCTGGCTGACAAATCTGGTTTGGAGCCAGGCACCTTCCCCATCCTCTCCTGTGGGTCCCCGAGCCCGTCCAGCCTCTCGTTCTTGTCCCGCAGCTGCACCTAGAGACACATGACAGCCCCGAGAGCTGGTCCAGCCAGCACCGTGCTCCTCTCCCCCATGCTACCCCCACCGCAGCGCTGGTGGAAGGGAAGAGCACGGCACATCCAGCTTTTCAGAGCTTGGACAGACTGTAGATGGGACGTTCAGCTGCCATTTTCCTCCTGCAGTGAGGATTTCATTTGCAGAGCGCTGGTTCCATGACCCAGGAAGGGGCTGCAGACCTTCACGCTTGTATTTTCATCAGCAAGATGCTGCACGTGCTCTGCCAGGGTACTTACGTTCTCATTCTCTGCAACACTTGGAAAATCCATGTGCTCGGAGGTCAGGACCTTTGCAGGGTATTGGGCAGGCGGCAACTGAAGAGCAAAGGAAGGACCTAAGGATCTCTATGGCAGCAACTTTTCCCCCGAGGCGGGGCACAGGCAATGTTGCTAACAACTTTGGTTACTAGTGGATGCGGCATCCACCTCGATTTTAAGGTGGAGCCAATTATTACAGCCACCCCAGGAAAAGAAACGATGCTTCTCAGGAGGTTTCCATCTTCCTAGGACAGTGCACAGCACCCACTGAAATGAGAAGCTGGGCAGATACCTGCAGTGAAGCAATACTGCCAGCTGGGAGGTACCACTCCCTAGATTATGGACCATTCCCCAAATCTGGCTGTAGGGATGGCCTCCATCTCTATTGCAGGGGTCTTTAGATAACCTAAGAGCTGATTAACCCATTAATTAATCCATTAATCCAACCATCTGCTCCAAGACCCTCCAATAACATCTCATATCAACTTCCAGGCATATTTCTCTTGATCTCTCCAGTCCCTGTACCTCCTGTGTCAATGAGCCACCCAAAGGCTACCAGGACCTTTGAGCTCTGCCCACGCTACAGCCGGCAACAGGAAAAACCTTCCCCAATTTATCACTTCATTATGGGAGAAAATTTAAGTTTTAAAGGAAAAAATGGACTGAAAAACCCCCTGATTAGCCCAGGCAGTGCTAAATCTGGATTGTTCTGGTCAACACACCGCCGCTGACTCCAAACTGTGACCATCCAGGCCTGAAAATAGCAATTCCTAAGTGTGTGCAAAGCTAAGAGTACTTGAACGGAGTCTCTGGTGCAAGAGCGAGGGTAACGGAGAGCGTAAGACACGGTGGATAATGCTGGAAGATGCTGGTGAACGGCAGCCATGGGGTAAAACGAATGCCCGTGCTTCATCTCCTCATTTCAGGCTTGTTAGCAATGCTATTTCGGTAGAGTGGGCGAGTTTAGGTAAGAACTTGTCTCTTACAGAAGAAAAGCTTTGACAATATAATGTTAAAAAAGACCATAGCTCTGAATAGCTTCTTAGTATCTGTCACAGCTAGGAGGGTGAAAGAGGGAAGGGCCCATCCTGCTAGGAGCTCTGTGCTGAGCAGAGTTTGCCAGCTCCTCACCTGGTCTAGGCTCTCGGAGAAGATCCTGCAGCCCCTCGACGGGGATTGCATGAACGGCCATGGAAGCCAGACCCAGGGGATGAGCAATTTTGGGGCTCGGGGGAAGCAGAAGCTAAGGAAACATGCAATTCTGTCTTATTTTTCTGCAACAGAACTTAACAGACCTGAAGTAATCTCATCAAGGTAAAGTGCTGCTGAGAATTCAGTCTCTTCACACCCACTGCTGAGCAGAAAGCCAAATTCACACACCGCCCACAGAGCTGCGGGGCTCAGAAGTCGCTGATGGGTGCTCCAG